TCGCAGACTTCGTTATTGACGAAAAATCTGTTTCGCTTGCTTTCTGGGATACCTGTTGTGGCGAAAATGATGAGTACAAAGGTCTGAGGCCCCTTTCTTACCACGATACAAATGTTTTCACTCTCTGTTTTGATGTTTCTAACTTGGAATTATTTCCTTACATGAAGACGTTTTGGGTCGAGGAATTGAGATCATTTGATCCAAACATCCCAATTATTCTTGTAGCGACTAAAACTGATCTGCGTGGCGGTGTTCCTGCGACAATAAGCAGAGAAGAGGGTGCAGATTTAGCTGGAGAGATCGGGGCTGCTGGATATTTTGAGATTTCGTCTTTGAAAATGGAGGGCTTGGACGAACTTTTTCACAATATTTGTGTCGTGGGCATGAAATATAGAAAGGACTTAAAAAGGAAATGCCTAATTATATAAAAGGCATTCACTTAATGGGCTTCTAAAATAATTGTTCTATTTTCTAATAGAATTGATTGAATGAAACTGCCTTTAGCGATCAACAATCAGAATGATAGGATTAATCGTGATAACTGCGAAAAGCTAATAACTATAATTATTGATTTGGAGAATTGAACAATATGGTGATTCGTGACACTTTGTCGTGTATTTGCTGATCGGGTACTGTGTACTGTGTACTGTTTACTGTCTAATGTGTACTGTGTACTGTGTACTGTGTACTGTGTACTGTGTACTGTGTACTGTGTACTGTGTACTGTGTACTGTGTACTGTGTACTGTGTACTGTGTACTGTGTACTGTGTACTGTGTACTGTGTACTGTGTACTGTGTACTGTGTACTGTGTACTGTGTACTGTGTACTGTGTACTGTGTACTGTGTACTGTGCACTGTGTACTGTGTACTGTGTACACTGTACGTCTGAACTGTGTACTGTGTACTGTGTAATGTGTAATGTGTACTGTGTACTGTGTACTGTGTACTGTGTACTGTGTTCCCTAACGTATTAGTACTGTTACTAACACAGTATCACAGTCGCACAATCGTTAGATAAGACTAATAACTAACGTTTCATAAATTAAGGGGAAGTGTGTTCCAACAAGACACCTCCTCATAGAGTTGCTTCATCACAATAGAACCGTGTAAATGTTCTTAGATACATGATTACACATTTTGTCATTCGTGTAAGAAAGTTTCGTTATAAGAACATAACTTTGTTTTATGAGAACGCTTGAGTGGCTTGGACGATCTTTTTGAATCCAGCGTTGTCTACGATCGATCCAGTGAAATCCACGCATCCTTCCTGTGTACCTCTCCTTCTTGAGCTGGAGCATTATTATTATTGAAAATCATACCCCTGCTCGTACTCTACGATATAGATTTCTCTCTAACTCACTAATCAGAAGCAACAGTAGTATCAATGAAAAGCAATGGAAGATAGACTCCTCCTAAAGGGTTGTGTTGTAGGATCTGCTGCAGTTGGCAAGACCAGCTTCTTCCGCAGATACAGGGAGGCTTCATCAACCGGGTATTATTCTTGGGCTGTTTACGATCCGACCCGGTATGAAACTTCATCCGGAGAACAAGAGGTGTCAATCGAGCTGAACGATGTGAGATCTACATGGCTATACCCTCAGTTTAGATCACGCATTTTCCGAAACACCGATGTTCTGATGATATTTTACAGTGTAATCGACAGAAGAAGTTACCATGATGCTGAGAAAGTGTGGTTACTTGACGCCCACAACCATTGTCCGGGTGTGCCGGTGGTACTGGTGGCTACTAAAACTGATATCAGGGATAATCAGGAAGCAGTCCCTGATGACTGTGTGTCTCGAGCGGAGGGTAGGGAGCTGGCTGAGAGAATCAGTGCTGAGGTTTTTGTTGAAGTGTCTTTACTTTGTGGTGAGGATCAGGATGATTTGATGAGTGAAGTTGTGATATGTGCTGTGGAACACAAGTTACGGAAACTTTCAGAGGTTCACAAGGAAAGTAAACCTTGTTTTTTTTACAAATTTTTTTCAATTATTTTCAATTTTTGTAGTTCGTAGAAATTGAAACTTGGGGACACTTTTTGACGTTTTTGATCGTTATGGTCGTGAATTTTTCTATTTTGTGATTATTGAAAATGTTTTATGATAATATTATAATTACTACTATTATAATTATAATTTAGACATTTTCAGACGCATTCTCATTATTTGTAAAATGATACTTCAATTTTGGATATCAACATGTCAGTTGTGACATCCATATTATCACACATAATATCATCCATATCATCACACATATTAGCAAACCCATTTCATTCTGTCATGTTATTCTGACGACTTGCGTCTCTCCATTAGGTAATATTAATGACTAACAATGGTGGCCCGTGTTTCACTTGCTTTTGTAGGTTACAACAGTTAGTTCCACCGGGATCTGGTAGTACTCATTATTAAGCGGCCTCTAAGTATCCTCATATCGCACTACTACTTGAGGTGAATATAAGGAACTGAAACTACTAGGTTCCGTACAGGCTCAACTCTACACCCATGTCAATATGTTCATATGCAAGCCTCTTGATTATATATGCTGGGCATATGAAAGTTTGCAATTTTCCGGACATTGATTGGGTTAACTCACTCTAAATCAGTTAACAGGGGACCTCCACAGGAACAGTTTCGGGAATCGTTATCTAGAAGTCTAGAGAAGAAGCAGCTGATGAAATTAGAGCCGTTAGATATTTCGAGATATCATTGAAATTAGATCACAAATCAAGAGTCTAATAATAGCAGAGATGGGTTCAGATATCAGTATGGAAAAACAGGGACCTGCTTGTTCGATCATTTAGCGTTTTGTTTCATTATTGTGGCTGTATTTCAGTGTTATTATCTTATATTTAGAGCAATTTGCTTTTAATTGTTCACATCTAAGCTTCGTTTTGCGATGGAAACTATTGCCAAGAGATCGTCCACATATTACGTAACCTATCCTAGAGGGAGGGGTTTTTGGAATGCTTACAATTTATACAATAGCTAGGTATAATGGAACGGCGGCTCTAGGATGGTCAAAATCTTGCGCGTGTAATATCTTAGTGATCTCTTAGTAATATTGTCTCATGTAACATGTTGGAGCCTTTTCGCGGCTGTGCTATAAAACTCTATACGTACCCACGGCCCTGAACTTGATACTGATTGGGGGGCCCGATTGGTGTTTACCAGTATAGTTACCGGGCGTTTTATTGCTTAATGTCACAGTGTGTTTCGGTGTCCTCATCGCTGAATAGGACAAATACCTAAAATAGTTTAAGTGTATTGTACGTGACAAAGTGATCCTACAGCATGGAATTGTTTCATTAAATTGCCACAAAATTAAATCTCCTAAACGCAGTTCCACTTCGTCATTCGTGTAACGAGGTTTCGTAGAAATTTTACTCAGATCATAAAACCTAAAGAAGTGACTTGATATCTTTGATAATTTTCGATCCTTGGAATTGGTTGTCACCGGAACCGTTATTCTGACCTCCTTTGTCTCTCTTGGTCCCACAATTCAGACGCTGAAAACATCTTAGTAACATCGTTAGGATATGCTAATATTGGGCGTGCTAATATTGAGTGTGCTCATATGGCGCTTTCAGTATAGTATGGCGACGGCGTGCTATAGTATGATCTTTTCTAACATGGCGTGCTTAACTATGGTGTGCTCTATATAGTATGGCGTGCTCTATATAGTATGGTGTGCTCTATATACTATGGTGTGCTCTATATAGTATGGCGTGCTCTATATAGTATGGTGTGCTCTATATAGTATGGTGTGCTCTATATAGTATGGTGTGCTCTATATAGTATGGTGTGCTCTATATACTATGGTGTGCTCTATATAGTATGGCGTGCTCTATATAGTATGGTGTGCTCTATATAGTATGTCGTGCTCTATATAGTATGGTGTGCTCTATATACTATGGTGTGCTCTATATAGTATGGTGTGCTCTATATAGTATGGTGTGCTCTATATAGTATGGTGTGCTCTATATAGTATGGTGTGCTCTATATAGTATGGTGTGCTCTATATAGTATGGTGTGCTCTATATATAGTATGGCGTGCACTTTTATTTTGTAGAGCTTGTTCTAATATTGTGTGAGAAGAGCGATCTTCTAAACGAACAATATCCAACAAAATAATGTTGCTCTATTCAGGAAACAATTTTATCTCTGTTACTGCTTACACTGATCGTTCTTTATTAATCTGATAGCCGTGTAATTTAATTTAAATTTGTGTACGCAGTTCCTCACAGAACGCCTGTTATTTCGATCTACTTAGCTATATTTTACTTAGCACCTACCTTGTATAGTTGTGTTCGATTACTCTGCTCTGCGTTATTACTTTTAGTTAATTAGTATTATTAGTTAGTTAGTATTCAAATAATTTGCACTGTAGTTAGTAACTTTGTGCGATGGATATCGTTTACAGGTTGTATACAATTTGAGGTACTGTGTGATGAAAGTGTTGTTAGTGTGCTGATTGGTTTGTGAAAATATTACTGGAAAAATACTCTACGTGTCAGGTTGTCCTGGAAATCACACCAGTTGTCTTGTGTCGAGTGTCCGGTCACTATGATAGGCTTCCTACCCACTTACCTAGTGATTCGCATTCAGTGTAAACGTTTGGTCCTTCATGTTTGTAGTCTTTTGTTGCTTGCTGATGTGCTTGTTGATAGTGCCGTACGTGTTATTCAAAATCGAGGAAAACTTTGGTTTCTTATGATATTATATCATTTCAATGACGCCTGCTATGATTTTGTTCATGAAAATACTTTATTTGCACTTTTCATTCTTGCAACTGTTTAATATTAACCGAATTTACTACCTTCCCGATCATGAAAACAGCATTTAATTAAATCCTGATACCTCACCGACACCGTCGTAGCTTGCCTTGTTTACTTATACATCTATAATTAATAACTTTGCAGAGGATGAATCAATTTATGTAGGAGTTCTAACTGACTTTGTTATTGAAGCGGATTATAATCGAATTCAATCTCTCTTTAGGATGGCACTATTTGAAGGACCAGTGAACCATGCAGCTAGTGCTCTCGGACTGCCATCTGGTGCCATCAGAATGATATCAGCGCTCTTCGTCTGCCAGATATTATCCTTAATCCACCGTGCGGTTATCTCCAAGATTCAGGACACCACTAAAAGACTGGTTAGTCATCTTCTGTTGGGACTTTTCATTGCATACTACGTGTGGGATGTGAACTGTGTGCATCATATTGCTTCAGTTCTAGGTATGTACTTACTCTTTTCGGCACTTCCTTGGAGTATAGCTGCTAAAATTAATTTTGTATATCAGCTGGGGTATATCGCTGTTGGCTATTACCATAATAATATGACGGAGGATTATGCCATCAACTGGACCACGACAATGGCAACAGTTACCCTCAAGATGATTGGACTTGGTTTTGATTTAAATGATAACAAAAAAGACGGAGCAAAGCTGCCAAGCATTACTAAAATTCTTGGTCACACATTTTTCTTTGGCACATATCTCGTAGGACCTATGGACGACTTTAAAAGATTTGATGCTTTCATCGAAGGTCGCCTGTTTAGTGAAGAAAATCGTCCAGACATGACGCTAGGTTTAAAACGACTGGCTCTAGGAGTATTCTTTCTGGTGTTATCAGTTCCGACCACAGCATTCTTCTCGACCCAAAACCTCTTTTCAGACCAGTATTCGGAGCTTCCTTTGGCCTTGAAAATCTTGTACATCACAGCTTGGGGACACTTCAGCTTGTTCAGATACATAGCAGTTTGGCTGATTGCTGAGAGCACCTGTATCTACATGGGCTACAGTTTTGATGGTGAGGGTAAATGGGACGGACTGAAGAACTTTGCAACCACTTCTTTCCACCTGTCGCTCACAGTTCAAGGTCTGATAGACACCTGGAACATGCGTACTACTGCTTGGTGTGGAAAGCACATCTACAAACGGTGCAAGTTCCTAGGAAACAAAACACTCTCCCAGCTCATCACCATGATCTTCCTGGCAATATGGCACGGACTCCACGTCGGTTACCTCATTTTCTTTTTCCAAGAGTTTCTCTACGGGCTCGTCATGGAGAAAGGAGCTTCCCAGAACACTCTTCTGCAGCGAGTGAGCAGCATAATCCCTAAACCGGTGGTAACTGTCTTTCGCTGGTGCTTCATCAAGTTTTTCATGTCCTTCACTTTCGTGTCCTTTGAGTTATACTACATTGAGAAGATTATGTATGTGTACAGATCAGTCTACTTCGTGTGCCCAATTATTGCTGCTGTAGTGATTGCTTCTAACATTGTGTTTGCAGAGGAGAAATCGTCGGAGAAGCAAGAATAGGCACTGATCCAGTAGTATTTTCGATTATTTACGTAGAATAACGTGACGAGTTACGTCTAGTAGACTGCTGAGTAGAGGTCCCAGACATTATAGTATATGATAAACTCTAGAACTTATAGGTTAGATGATTGCAGTGTGTTTCTTCTTTTTTTAATTGTTAGTAAATTGTAAATGTAAAACATTTGATCAAAACGCGTTAGTTAATGTTTATTAGAAATTACTCAATGGTATGTGTGCCGGGGTTGTATTTATACTTTTTATTCTTTTGATAGATGTAGGTTGTATTACTAAATATCAATTACCAAATATTTTAGGGGTTTCAACAAAGTTAAACTTATTTTTGTAGATTATATTATACATATATATTAATATTTTATAATACATAATTATCTTATGCTGTGTGAATTTCATAACTAACGTGTGAAATTTGTTTCTAAGTACGGTTAAACCTGTAAATTTTGTAACGATCTATTACTCTGCTACCATGGTTACCAGGTTACCAGGTTAGTTACCAGGTTAGTTACCAGGTTAGTTACCAGGTTACCAGGTTAGTTACCAGGTTAATTACCAGGTTAGTTACCAGGTTAGTTACCAGGTTAGTTACCAGGTTAGTTTCCATGTTACCAGGTTAGTTACCAGGTTACCAGGTTAGCTACCAGGTTAGTTTCCATGTTACCAGGTTAGTTACCAGGTTAATTACCAGGTTAGTTACCAGGTTAGTTTCCATGTTACCAGGTTAGTTACCAGGTTACCAGGTTAGCTACCATGTACAGTAAATCCTTGATTTGAACTGCCTCGACAAACCTTGAACCTCGATATACTGGGTTTTACTGTATCAGAGTATGGGGTGTTTTATTTCTATGAAATTGTCTGATAGCTTATTTAATAGAAAGTGTTATAGTACTTTGGTAGTTTTATTTGAGCATACTAAGCAGTGACTGATATTAAGCAGTGACTGATATTAAGCAGTGACTGATATTAAACAGTGACTGATATTAAACAGTGACTGATATTAATAAATTTGATTAAAACTAAAATACATCTTAAGATAGTATGACGTAACCCGACCAAGACCAGACCAAAACTGAGAAGTGAGAACTCGACTAAAAACAGACCAAACTCGACTAAAACCTGACTGCTAAGTATAGTTATTTGTGTTAGACAACTTGTATTATTATAATACAAGGTGAGGTCAGTAAATATGAAGTCAATGAACATGCCGATTCTAAATTATCGTGATAAAAGTTGAAAACCCTACACCGCAGGACGGTTCAGATATTATGCCAAGATTGGCGCCCCTCCACTTAGATATGATGCACATCAAACGAAACTCTTTATTAGCTTATCAAAACTTGGGAGACGGTGTCTTGCCCTAACTGCACCGTCACGTGTGTTACCATGGTGACACACGTGACGTCACGCGTCTTACCCTTACTACACCGGACATGTTCATACTTCTCGTAGCTACCAGAAACAAGAAGCAAAATATTAATTGAGAAAATGGTAGTTGGAGTGGAACCTCGCGAGACCTCCTACAAAGCTACTAGTTCAGATGTGACTATGTGAGCGGCTTAAATCTTGATAGTGAGTTGAAGCGGAAATACTGAAATAGGCTCTTGTTTTGTAATTTCTCGGATAGATTCTAATGTGCATTAGTTTAGTTAGCCCGACCTATCTTAATTATTTGGTCATATTACAGTTAAATTACATTTTTAGGTTTCCATTTGAATCGTATCCACTGATAAAACATTCATTACGGGTATCGGCCTTACAAAATGACACGAAAAAGGAGATTGCTCTGAAATGCACAAAAATGAGTTTTGTTCATGTTTTATTATCCAGATAGGTAGTTCAACAGGTATATTTTTCTTCCCGGGGGTTGATTTGATTGAAAAACCGTAAATTTTGCGATAAAAATGGTCATCTTTGAAATCTTCCAAAAAAACATGCCTTACAAAATGACAATTTCGTCACGGCTGTCATTTTTTAACAGCAGCCTATAGAAATTTGATTTCACCTAGGACAGTTAGATAAATATGATAGATTGAAGATTAGAATAGCTTTTACAGGAAAAAGGATGATTAAAAAAAGTTGGGCAATTTCGCGTGAGATAGTGCCTTACAAAATGACAACCCAAAACGGCATCACTTCAAATCCGATTTGGGAAAAAGTTTCATTATTCTTCCACGTGTCTTACTGTTAGATATATATGTTGTTTATATTATACCAGTTCTGTTTTTACCAAAATATATTTAAAAAGGAACATTTTTTATACTTTGAAAAAATTTTAAAAATGTCATTTTGTGAGGCGTAAAAATCATTTTTTGTTTTCATACTTGAACACAGTATTTGGTTATATTTGATATTTTCTATGACTGGATAGATCACTTTTCAGTGTTTAGTTAACGTTTGACATGTTTTAGGAGTTGTTATTACTCTCTGCTTTCACAAAATAGAAGCTTTATTTCGTTGAGTTTTGAAATCAGAGTTTGAAATCAAAGAGTTTGAAATCAAAGTTTTGATATCAGAACTGCACTTTTTTAATGCTACTTGATTGTTAACTGTCAGATTATGATTATTTTTAACTCCTTCTTGTATTGACTGTCTCTGATCCATTTTAGATGATGAAAATAATTCAATCTGAAACATTGTCATTTTGTAAGGCTTTTTGGTGTCATTTTGTGAGGCATTTTGATCAAAATTGATGATCAAACAAACACATTTAGGCTCATCATGAGCTTACTGGGTTTAAGAATACCAATAATTAGGCAAGGGGCATCCAATATAAATATGCCATCTTTGTATCATAAAATAAAACTGTCATTTTGTGAGGCATAACACTGTCATTTTGTGAGGCTAGGTCATTTTTTTGTCATTTCTTCTACCAAAGTCACTAAATCAGTTTTTTTATTTGACCAGAGTAGTCTTTGATTGACATAAGTCATGGTAGTACCTGGTTTTCTGGGGTTAAATTCAAAACTTTGGTCTCCATTCTGGGTAACAGTTAGGCGGGGCAATGACTGAACAGCAAAAACGTCCATATTTATGTAAGAAATATAGATTCTATGTCATTATCATTCCTTGGGAAGTGTTAATTAATGCTTTTTCTTTCATACAGTAAAAGGAATAGGGTTCAATGTATAGGGAACCTAAGCTACAGCATGGTCTATGTGGGCTGTCATTTTGTGAGGCCTGTCATTTTGTAAGGCTGATACCCGTAAATAAGTTTTTGATATTTGCAAGACAATTTGACTATGTATTTGATAACAGGCTTTTACAGTAGAGTATAATAATTAACATCACATTTTCTTATATGTCGCCAACAATGCCTGAGAAAGACAAACGATTTTAATAATAAGTTTATTTCGACGTATCTTCAATTGTGTGTCAGCCACTGAAAAAGTATCGTGTATTGCTAATTACTGACTGCTACATAATCTCTGTATAAACTTAAAGGAACGTTTTATCAGGCTAATGGTTTGATGAGGCCTCCGTTCAATATTATCCAGATATAAACTCCCAAGCGACAAGGGAGATGGGCACAGTTGACAGCCCTATCAAACTGGTAGCCACCTTTGTAGGATATAACGGAGCTGGCAAGACCACCCTGCTCTACAAGATATTAGACCGCCCTCTTCCTCCCAACTTTGTTCCTAAGGTTCTGCCCTGGGATGAAGGTGATTTCAGACAACATTTGTTTTATAATCTATAGCTCGTCTTATTGATGTGCCGAGGGAATTCACCTCCTAAAATAATAGAAAATGCATATTTCTTGCGCTCTTCGGCTTTGAAAGCGGGAAATTTGCCGGACAACGGTTTACTATTATACACAAAGAAATAAACCCCTGCAAAGTTTACAAAATAACGAGTCACTCCCCCAGGTCCCCTCTACCTGACCACCCGTACGGAGGACGGCCGTGAAGTACACCTTCACGTGCGGGACACGTGTGTGTTGGACGAGTACGACAGATTCAGACCTCTGAACTTCCCTCAAACTGACGTGTTTGTGATCTGTTTCCCGGTATAAGGAACGCGGTGAAAGTAATGGGGTGTTTCAGAACACCCTCGATCTGTTCTGGAGAGACGAGATAGTCAGGTGCGGGTTTCAGGAAGTCCCAGTGGTACTGCTGAAGACCAAGGTGGACGAGGTTTCCTCTGATAATATGGAGAAGCAGGTGTGTGAGGAGGATGTGGAGTTGAGTAAAGACAAGGTGGGGTGGCTCTACTCGTTGGAGGTGTCTGTTCAGAACGAGATGTTGGTAAAGGAGCTGGTAAGTAAGATAGTGCTAGCTGGACTGAGCCATCAGAAGACGAAGGTTGAGAGGAAGAAGCGGAGATGCGTTGTTTTATGAGTCAAGTTCGATCAAATTGTTGTTTTCTGAAAATCTGCGCTGTGTGCCTAAAAGTCAATGATCGATATAGCGGCGACAGAGAATTATATAATAGTCTGTTGGGGGGATTAGGGAAGTTCGCCAGACTTCGACAGGGGGGTATCCTTTCGACAGGGGGGGGGGGGGGGGTATCCCTTCGATAGGGGGGGGGGGGGTATCCCTTCGACAGGGGGGAAGGGGGTATCCCTTCGATAGGGGGGGGGGGGGGTATCCCTTCGACAGGGGATATCCTTTCTACACCGAAAACTATGCGATGTCTTGACGCCAAATCCTGAGATCAATGTCTAGTCTACCTCTACTCGCAAACACTCAACTAACAATTTCGGTTCCACGGGGTGGGGCTATTTTCATCTCAATATTGAATAAAGATATTGTTCCGACTATATGTAATAGGACACCAACAGATTGCTCCTTCATAATATCTCCATAACGGATTGCCTTCCTGTGATCTGCTTTCTTGACACACTCTTAATCTCTGTCTTAATCATTGTTGTGCCGGTTGTGCTTTTATCGCGCATATTTTAGTTGATATCGGTAACCATAGTCGGCTAGTTGCGTGGCAACGAATGGATAATAAGTATTACGCATTGTAATAACTCCGATTTTTTTCGGGTTTTTGTTTTGCTTTTAGCATTCCTGAAGTTTAGTCTATGGGTTATGAGCCAGTTAAATGTTCGACTGCCAGATTTTGATGTGCGATATGTTTGTTACTTATTTCTCAACTATTTGTTTAAATTGTGTTTTATTCGACATAATTTCATTTATATTGACTATTATGTGATGTTTCTGTTGCACTTCATATTTCTCTGCTTTATATTGATATGCTTGTGTATTTTGTTTCAAACCAGGGCTGTGCGCTACAAATGTGCTGTAGTGTAAAAGGCGGTTCTAAAAATAAACCAAATGTAGGTACTTACTCCAAGACAAACGGCTAAATAAACAATATATAAGATAAACAAAGTGGTAACAGTTGAACTAGAATTAATAATAGTCTACAATTAATACATGTATCTGCATACTCGTGGTATTGAACGAGAAAAATCTTGTCATTTTACCAGTAATACAACTTTGTAATTAAATAATAACTCTAATTCCTTGGTTTGTAAGTTAAAGTGCAGCAGATTTCGAAATACTGGATTCTTTACACGTTACTGGAGGGAGCATGACATGATGCACAACTGTAATGACCGTCGTGACGACAGTGTAATTCGTTATACTACGGAAACTTCAACCTCGTGACGCAAACAAACCTAATTAGCTAATGAAACGGTAGCCCCTTTATAAAGTCACGTGACTGTGTCGCGTGACTCGTAACATCACATAACTCATGACTCATGAGTCATGATGTTTTTAGGTGACATCACTAGTTTTGGGTTTTGGGCTCCTGATTTTGACTTTTGTCCTTGTTGTAACAATTATCAAACTGAATCAATGTTAAACGCCCCTAATCACTATTGTTTTACCCGCTTATACTGTTATATTGTTATAGTGCCTAATGCTGTGTACATATTTACCGAGGGATACTCCAAGTGATGGTAGTAACAGTTAGCGCACCTGCTGCCCCCAAATTATAACTTCTCAAATCTGCATGTTGCACCCCATCTGGTCCCCTACCATGAGCGCATTTCTCGAACTTTCCCGCTCCCAAATAACACGCTGTACTTGTCCGTACTTGTCCAACTTTCTGCTGAATGAGATTCTGTACTCGCCGTGTCTTGCGGAGGATAAGCAGTATGGGAGGAGGATACCAGACTAGTGATAGTAAACGTATGTCTCAGACTTTTCAATAGTGTTATTTCTCTGGTTGTGTCTCTGTAAAGTAGCCCTGTAAAGTTCAATACAATGTAGTCTGGTGCTTGTCCTGGAAAAGGAAAAACACTATTGATTTTGACCCGCTATCGAAAATATGAGTTCAGTTTTTGTCCTCGAATTATTATTTAAAATGTATTGCAGAATTGACTGCCTCTGTTTCTAGGTACTACATGTAAAGAAAGCAGTAGTATTGCAATGTCTATGCGTAATGTGAAGTGTGTTTGTATAGGAGACGGAGCTGTCGGCAAAACATGTCTTCTAATGTCCTACTCGCAAGGTTACCAACTCTTAATATTCCTCTATTAAATACTGTATTCCTTCACAGTTCATATTTTAAAATGTAGATTTTTTCCCGACTCGTTTTTGTACTTGTTACTGTAATTCGAAAAGGGGTCGTAGAAAGCAACAGGTTGCTTGGTTACCAAATTAATGATACGCTGTTACTAAACTATTGGTTGCTAGTTTACAATTCTTCTATATAATACGTTCAGGTTCTAGGTTACCAGCTAAATTGTAAGTTACCAAGTTAACACTATAAATAGGTTACGTGAATATTTACATCTCCTCAGATCGGTTCCCGACGGAGTACGTTCCTACTATATTTGATAACTTTGCAGTGAATCAGGAGGTGGACGGGATTGGTCCAGTGTGCCTCAACCTCTGGGATACTGCAGGTAAGTTACCCTCACACTTGGTTTATTATCAAAATGCCAAAACAGATACTTTGCAGATATCTGGGTATTGATAAGTATTATTTTTAAGTGAAAACAAATTCGATCCTGATCTGGATTAACAAAAGTATAATATAAGCAGTCGAATCTTTTGTTACAGTATCCAGTGAATTATAAACAACTGGTAAATAATAACAATGATTGGTTAATAATCTGAAAGTTAGAATTGGCTTGATATGAAGCCTAATAAGCACTGATTAAATTGTAACAGTATACTGATAAATCAATAAGAAAATAAATCTTTTCTTGTCTCAATGTCCGTACTTGCGAGGATTCTGGTTCCTCAACACTTTACGTAAAGATTATATCTGAAACTCTCACGTGCATGATTCACAATCTCATCCTTACCCTTCATAATCAAGAAAATAGTCTGATCGTGAATGATGCGACCATTTGGCTTCTTCTTGAAGGGTATTTTATCCACACCTACCCCACCACATTCTGCTTTACGGTTGCACGCTTTTTTGGCTACATCCAGGTGTTTGTATGTCTTGGCACGTGTGCTGTGATTATAGTTAGTGTAGTAGGTGTTTTCCTTCTCACACCAACTTCCTGCTGCTAGTCCAAGGAGTACCAACATTGTCAGTAGCAGCAACTTCATTTTCTGGTGGATTAGAAGTAGGGTTAGGTTGTAATTGGATCAATATAAACAATGTGACGGTAGGCAGATTATAACTAGAATTCAAATTGATCGACTGCAATCATTCAATTTATTGTAAGAATTAGTCAAAGAAGATGCGAATGAAGTGTGTATCACCACATAAGGGCGTATAAAAGGTAGAATGATGGTTGCTAAGCTATGGTTGCTATGGTTGCTACTTGCTATGGGTACGTGGTGATGAACAACAGGAGGAGAACGTTAACGAGTGCGGCACGGCAACTAAAGTAAATGAGAGGTTACACTTATCCACGTAAAGCCAAGCATCAGACGACCAATAACTATAAGCTATCGAGCGACATTGACCGATGAGATGCGAAACAATAAACACAATATATCAGACGAGACACTACGGGTCTACGGGCACCCAAATTCAAATTCCCTACAAAGCCAAATGTGCTGTTTAAGCTTTAGAGATCGAACAACTATCTAATCTACCGAGTGACATTAAGTGATGAGATGCGAAACAATGGAACCGTTCAAACGGTTAACTATCTTACTTCTGAACAGTTATATACGAATGGTTTAAATTCACCAGTAAATTAAGATTTAAATGATATCAACTCTGACATATACTTTAGTAAACTATATCGCAGGTCAAGAGGATTACGATGAACTGAGGAGGTTGTCGTACCCTGAAAGTGAAGTTATTCTCATGTGTTTCTCTATTAACTCTCCTACTAGTCTTGCTAACGTCAAACATAAGTGGAGTGTCGAGGTGAGTTACTCGGTTACTTGGTTACTTGGTTACTTGGTTACTTGGTTACTTGGTTACTTGGTTACTTGGTTACTTGGTTACTTGGTTACTTGGTTACTTGGATACTTAGTTACTCAGTAACTCAGTAACTCAGTAACACTGTTTTTCAGCTCATTGTTAAGCTGTTAAGTTCCAACTATAAGTTAGAATCGACCACGTCCTGTTTTCAGGCGAAGGATTACTGTCCGGAAGCTCCAGTGATACTGATTGGTCTACAAGCAGATAGGAGGAAGGATGACAACGCTATGGAACTTCTCAAACAGTCAGACGGTTATCAGACTCAGCGGGAGGTAGGATAGTTTAGTGTATGCTGTAAAACGAGAGGGTTAGAACGAAATTCTAGCGATTTTTCAACTTGCTTTTAAATCGCGGTATAAAATTTTGTTTTATCAAGTTATGCAATATGCATCTTAATAATCCATGCATGTTCAAATTTCATGCATATTATTGGAAAAATCGAAATACCTGGTGAAAAGTTTCCTTATTGCTGGCAATTCCAGTTTAAAGATAACCAGATGTATTACGATTAATTAACTAATTAATTCACTCTATTTCCCGATATTGCTGGCAATTCCAGTTTAAAGATAACCAGATGTATTACGATTAATTAACTAATTAATTCACTCTATTTCCCGATCATCAGATAGGAGCCTACAAGTACATGGAAGTGTCTGCCCTTACAATGGAGGGAGTAAAGGAACTGTTTCTAGAGGCTATCAAAGTAGCAGTACACGGTCAGGGTACTGACAAGAAGAAGAGTTGTTGTACTCTCTTGTAGGTTACCATGGTTACTATCTTGTAGGTTACCATGGTTACTGTCTTGTAGGTTACCATGGTTACTGTCTTGTAGGTTACAGTTAGCTATAGAGAGAAATACGTAGTTTCATTTTTATAATAATATAACACTGCTTTATTTAGATTAGAACGATTTTTTTCCATAAGTTTTCAATGATTTGATAAATTTAAATTTAATTGAACTTAATAGATTATCCGTGTTTATGTTTATGTTTTGAATTTGAATTTATGGAAATTACAGTTAACATTTTATCCATTTTTGCATGCTTTTACTTTGATTCAGAATTCAGATGTGAAATTAGATGCTTTTTATTTTTCACGAAATTGAATTTTAGATGTAGTTTTAACTAACAATGGTCCATCTTACTTTAATGTATACATCTTACTTTAATGTATAGATTTGTACAGAAATTGATATTTTTATTTCACGATCACATGTTTTCACAAGACGGATTAAAATTTTTCTCAGCGATTGATTAAATCACAATTTTAAATTGTAAATATTATGATACACATTTTGTTTCTCAAATTTTACTTTATCAGTACTAAATAACTAAATGCTTCCTAGTTATTTTGTCGTAGTGCTATTTCAATATCTCAATCTAAAATGGTCGTGCTTTTAAGAATGTTAATATTTATTATTTAGCAATAGTAATATTGAAAGCAAAGCAATTTAATTAGCTAATAAACTATATCTCAACCAGCTAATGTTAAGGGTGTGCCTTGAAACAGTAACCGTTGCGGTTAAAACCACCTGTCAAGGAAAGTGTGTTATAGTTGGAGACCCTCAAGTCGGTGAGTCCAGGTAACCAAGTAACCAGTAGTAACTATTAGTAACCAGTAGTAACCAGACCCTCAAGTCGGTGAGTCCACTCCTGTGAATTACTCTAAATCTCTCTCGTGTTGTGCAATTCAATGATATCATTAATTTCATATTTACTGCAGAACCATGTGTAAACACAGCTGAACAGTATTTCGATTTTAAATCTTAGCTTCACAGTTTTTTGTCTAAACAAAGTCTTGTTTGCTGTACTCTTATTGTGAAGAAAGTTTCCCAGGGGAGTATGGTCCCCAGATTGTAGACATTGTTGAGAAGAATTTGTTTGTTAATGGTAAACTGTTCAAACTGAGTCTGCTGGATCTGGCTCCAGGTAACCAAGCGACCAGTAGTAACCAGTAGTAACCAGTAATAATCAAGTAACCAATTAACGTGACCTCTTCAGTGCCCCTAGAAGTAGAAGCAAATGGTCAGCTACGGGCATGGCAAGTGTTTGTTATGCCACTTATCAAATGTCCTATAATGTCACTGGCCACTGCTGACAATAAATATCCTAACTGATATCTTAAAAGATCAGATATCTAACCTCCTAGACTCTAGGAGGTCTCTAGGAGTCCTAAAGGCCCGACTAACCCTGACTTCTAACTCCCTCAGGAGAAGCACTTATCTGTAGAAGTGAGGAAGAAAGTGCTAGGTTGCGAGCATTAAGCTACCCTGGGACAGATGTAATTATTATCTGCTTTGCTCTGGATTCTAAGAGCAGTTTTAACAATGTTTGTCACAAATGGATACCTGAGGTAATTGTAACAATATCTGATGGTGGTCCTGTTAAAAATTAAATCAAGAATTCTTTTAAAATTGCTATGGAAGTTAAGGTAGTCGTTGGATGTAGTTGACTTAGATTCTGGTTTGTTGATCATGTAGAGGATGGTAATTGGCATCATGGGGATTCTAGGGAACATGATAATTTCCTACTGTAGCTTAGATCTACAGATTCCAAGGGTGTGTGGTAGTTTTCAATTAGGAACTGAGTTTCTGCATATTATTGAATTAAGTTTTAAGCTTAATAACTAATAAGGCTTTCAGTTCGGAACTTGGTCGGAATATTATTTTTGTGACACAGAAATTCTGTCTCAATTCAAAAGACAAACAATGTGATCACTGAAAATAGACGTAAATATCACAAACAGATTTAAAACGTATAATACACATTTTACAAAACATTATGATTTACTCTTGTTATAAAGAAGAAACAACTATCAATTTAAACAGTTTTACCAAGTTACTGGACGTCAAATGCACTGGTTTTCTAATTTGTTTTGCAATTCTAATAAGAGAGTCCGAAATACGTAAAAATTCCATCCAGCAACGAAATAAAATGTTGTTAGTGTGACGTTTTGTACGTCTATAAATAGATTATCTGATCTTAGAAACGGGTTAAAATATCAATCCAACTTTTAACTAAGGGCCCTCACTTAAATGAGCATGAACAGTCTTAAAACATGGAAGCTATCCCACAAAAATAGAAAGAAAAAGTAATCTGGATAAGTCCTTTTCTGAATAATATGTTCATCTGGAATGACTTCTTAGAAGTGACTCACTTCTATTAGTTACTGACAAAAAGAAACAATAGTAGTTTCTCAAAGTAGTGTGTGAACAGTGTGCTAATATCCGAAATGTTCCAGGACCATGGTGAGATGTCTGAGATGCTGTATAGCTATTAGCTAGCTGTAAAGTCTCCAGTTTTGTAGGTTTCCTCTTCTCGGGTAAGGCAGGTAGAACTTCTGTTAGTCTCTCGTAAGTTCATTATCTGGAAAGTGATAATTGTTAAGGAAAGGAACTTTATCAGCTTCAAATTAGTTATTAGTGAATAGTGGGTCCTCTGCTAATGTTCTTCTAGTTGGAAAATATGTCAAGTACGATAATGCGAGAGTTATCATTATACAATATACATGGACGATTTCAATGTAGATGAAGTGATAGTGAAAGTGAGCTACCTTCAAGCGAGTACGTTGTCTGGAGTTGACAGCAAGGCGCTTACTATTCATCTCGTTTGAAGACTGGTACTTTCTTCTACTTTATTTCAACCTGTGATATATATCACGTTAAATAGAGTCCACTAAATACTTTTGCCCCTTACCCCAATACTTAAATCGTCCGCTCATTGATTCAAGCCAATAATTGAGTGATTATATTCCTCGAAAATATAATTTCTTAGATAATATGTTCCAAATACAAGCAAAATGACCTACTTTGATAATTGTGAAGATGTCACCGACCGAATCCTTGTCTAATGAGTTTCAAACCAAATATGGGAGAACTATCCTGTCGGATAGTTGTACATTAATTATAGTCAGTGTTAGTATTTATGAGCTACAAATTAATCGTTTAATACACTAATTACACTTAATCAGTAAAGAATGCACGCAGCTGTATTTCTCAGTGGAGACACCTAAAACTCTTTTAAATAGTCCATAACATCCAAGTACCTGAAAAGGGCAGAAAGTGAGGATTTATCGAGACCAACACGATACAAACTTCGATGTGTGTGCTATCTTTAAGTCAGCTTTATCTGCTTCTGTAATCAGGTGTTAAAACCTCCCCATCCCCAAAATTAGTTTCAAGAATTGACAAGAATAATAAACTATTTCCACAACCTACCCTTTTGAATTATCAAGTTCCCATGAAAAGTGCTCAGAGCTTAAGTATTGGCCCATTTCCATAATATAATTATTTAATTCCCCATGAATGTTTCTCCGAGATTAAAATAAAATATTCTAAACTTCAACACACATTTCTGCTAAATAGAAAGACGCTGATCGACGCCCTAGTGTCATTCAATGTCTTTGATAAACAAAAAATATTAGTTTCTCACCTATAACTATAAGCACACATTTTGGCAGGATTGTATAGGAAAACACCGACCCTGAAAAAGATCACTAGATCATTCTAAAGTTCTAAAGCTTCTAGGAATGACAGATATTATGTTTCAATATTAATTAAAAAAGGATAGTTCTTAGTCTATACACTGTATTTACTATTTAAGATATTATTCTTCTTCATTAATTAACTAACCTAGTTGACAAGTCAGAGTCTTATCCCCAGACATTAGAGCAAATGTGTTAGGTTTCTCACATCTCACTGTAAGAACAGTTCCTACTGGTACTGGTAACTCTGGTGTTAAGTCTGCTACTCCAGAAAATACTGAACTATCAAAGCTGTTGCACTCTGAAGCTGAAGTTCATTCTGTTATGATTCATATGATAAATTGGTATTATAAGTTGACGGAATTTCTTTTTGCTTTGAAGTTTCCAAAATATTGTGTTTCAGAAGAGTTCCATACCAATCGAATCGAATAATTGTATACACACATTTATTTTTTATTGCTCTTACCCAATTCTTCTGTTACCACAATTTCAGCCACAACTAAGTGACCTGTACTCTTGCTTAGTTTCACAGTGTCTCCTTCAGTGTTACAGATCAGTGTGTAGATCTGGTCTGCCTGCTCTAGTCCGTATGTTAGTTGGAGTGTTCCACAAGACTTCTGCTTTACCTCTCCCTGGTACACTGACACATCCACGTTGTTATGCACATCTAGGCATGTCTTAAAATTGGCTTCACTTTGTACACACCAGATACCAGGATGGTACCAGTTGGTGTAGAACCGGAAGTAGATAAGAACCTTGTGGATAAAGTAGGTTCTATCAAACTCTAGTTTTAACCAGCCTGCTCCGTTATCAGTGGCAGTTGCTGCTACAGTTGAGAGGTCCTTATCAACTGCATGTGCTGCTGCAAAACTTTCCTCGTTGTTATCTAATGTTTTCCCGTGTGTAACTTTAGAAGGAGTTATCTCTGCTAACTTCTGCTTAAGAACTGAAATAATTGCTCAAATATTTTCTCAACTATTTGACTTGGTGAGTTGGTGAGTCTTGTTTGAAATAAGAAAATTAACTGCCAAAATGCTAGACCTCTTTTTCTTGTGCTTTTTTAAACAGAATAAAACATTAATTTTGACGGTACCTGTACTAATTATAGCTACTTCAAAGATTGCTATGTGTCCTGTACTCTTGCTTAGTTTCACAGTGTCTCCTTCAGTGTTACAGAGCAGTGTGTAGATCTGGTCTGCCTGCTCTAGTCCGTATGTTAGTTGGAGTGTTCCACAAGACTTCTGCTTTACCTCTCCCTGGTACACTGACACATCCACGTTGTTCTGCAGATTCGCACAGGTTCTGAAGTTATCTTCACTACTTACACACCAATTACCAGGATGATACCAGTTGGTGTAGAACCGGTTGTAGATTTGAACCTTGTGGATAAAGTAGGTTCTATCAAACTCTAGTTTTAACCAGCCTGCTCCGTTATCAGTTTCAGTTGCTGCTACTGTTGAGAGGTCCTTATCAACTGCATGTGCTGCTGCAAAACTTTCTTCGTTGTTCTCTAATGTTTCCCCGTATGTAACTTTAGAAGGAGTTATCTCTGCCAACTTCAGCTTAAGAACTGAAATAATTGCTCAAATATTTTGTCAACTATTTGACTTGGTGAGTCTTGTTTGAAATAAGAAAATTAACTGCCAAAATGCTAGACCTCTTTTTCTTGCGCTTTTTTAAACAGAATAAAACATTAATTTTGACGGTACCTGTACTAATTATAGCTACTTCAAAGATTGCTATGTGTCCTGTACTCTTGCTGAGTTTCACAGTGTCTCCTTCAGTGTTACAGAGCAGTGTGTAGATCTGGTCTGACTGCTTTAGTCCGTATGTTAGTTGGAGTGTTCCACAAGACTTCTGTTTTACCTCTCCCTGGTACACTGACACATCCACATTGTTATCGCTGTTTACACAGTTCCTAAAGTTAGCTTCACTTCCTGCACACCAATCACCAGGACGGTACCAGTTAGTGTAGAACGCCCAGTAGATTTGAACCTTGTGGATAAGATGGATTCTATCAAACTCTAGTTTTAACCAGCCTGCTCCGTTATCAGTTTTAGTTGCTGCTGCTGTTGAGAGGTCCTTATCAAGTACATGTGCTGCTGCAAAACTTTCCTCGTTGTTATCTAATGTTTTCCCGTGTGTAGCTTTAGAAGGAGTTATCTCTGCTAACTTCTGCTTAAGAACTGAAATAATTGCTCAGATATTTTGTCAACTATTTGACTTGGTGAGTTGGTGAGTCTTGTTTGAAATACGAAAATTAACTGCCAAAATGCTAGACCTCTTTTTCTTGCGCTTTTTTAAACAGAATAAAGCATTAATTTTGACGGTACCTGTACTAATTGTAGCTACTTCAAAGATTGCTATGTGTCCTGTACTCTTGCTGAGTTTCACAGTGTCTCCTTCAGTGTTACAGAGCAGTGTGTAGATCTGGTCTGCCTGCTCTAGTCCGTATGTTAGTTGGAGTGTTCCACAAGACTTCTGTTTTACCTCTCCCTGGTACACTGACACATCTACGTTGTTATGAGAATTTACACATTCTCTGAAGTTAGCTTCACTTTGAACACACCAATATTCAGGATCATACCAGTTGTTGTAAAATACGCGGTAGATAACGACCTTTTGGATAAAGTAGGTTCTATCAAACTCTAGTTTTAACCAGCCTGCTCCGTTATCAGTGTCAGTCACTGCTTCTGTTGAGAGGTCCTTATCAACTGCACGTGCTGCTGCAAAACTTTCCTCGTTGTTCTCGTATGTTTTTCCGTGTGTAACTGTTGTTGGAGTTACCTCTGCCATCTTTACCTTTCGAACTGAAATATTATAATTCGTACACTTCATGACTTCTTATTTCCAAAATGTTGCCCTGTTGACTGCTAATTGCTGAAAACCTGGACTTAATGGACCTACCCTTTGTAAGTTCACCATCTGAGTCACCAAAGACAGTCAACGCCATCATTATAACGAACAGTATGAGTTTCAGCATCATGTCACGCTGAAACTGTCTTATCTCCTGCTAGAATCTATACCGAATTGATAGAGTTTAAGATAAACTAACCAGCGCCGCAAACCAATGCTGTAAAAGATAAATGTGAGCTAGTGTGCCTCTACAGAGAGCACCTCAACTCGACTAATAGTTTCCTTATGGATCATTCATAAAGCCCTGCTCTCTTAACTTAACTAACAAAGGACGGACTGGCTAAGCTGAGTAATTATCTCTTAGTATTATATAATAGTTTAATGATCATTGTTCTCTGGGTCCTGGTAGGTCGAGGAATCGTGTGTATTACACCCCACACTTAGCACAGTTTTACAACCCTCACTTTAAGTCTTTAGAGTTGTATGATAATAAATGTCCATGTTCTAGATTATAGGCATCTCTAGAAGTCTAGACATAGCCTTTACAATTAAAATTATGATAAAAGGGATTATTAAAGTTTCAGTAAGAAATATATAGTACAGATAACAATCCAATTTATACAAATGCACATGTAACCTTTAAACACACATGTGTAAGACGTCAAGTTCATGACCTACCTCTATATCTCTATATAAATACTTCAATAGTCATCGTATGTAACGGAGAATGAGTGAAGATACAAATTAAAAGTTACAAGTTACAAGCAGCCGAAGATACAAATTAAAAGTTACAAGTTACAAGCAGCTGAAAGGGATAATGAAATGTATCAAGATTGTTATGGTGGGAGACTCCACCGTCGGTAAATTCTAGTTATTATTTTGAATGTTATTTATCCAGTACAACTTGTTATCACAATCGTGAGCATCTCTACCAAATCTTTACACACCCTCGGATATACTCCCCCAGGTAAATCGTGTATCCAGTACTCCTACTGCGCCAATGTGTTTCCAGCTGGACCTGCTATATTTGACCACCAGTCTCAAACGGCTACTGTTGCCGGACAGCGAGTATCCTATCAGCTGTGGGACACTGCAGGTAAATATAGTTCAGTCACGTGTTTTAGTCACGTGGTTTAACTTTTTCCTTCAGGTGAAGGAGCTATATTTGTCGATGATACAGTGTCGATTCAAGTCTTGAGTAGGACATATTTTCTTCGACCATAACTCTCAACTAAAACTTTTGAATGATACACATTTTCCTATTAGTTGTAGATTATACTGCAGGTTATACTGCAGGTGACCCAATTTTTAGTCTACCGTAGATTGGTTATGTTAAAATAAGTGAGTATATTTTATCTCAATGATGAGCAGAAGTGATCCCTTTTTACACTCGTAAATGTGTATGCCTGATTAATTTGCATCGACTGTTTTACAAATTCAGAAACAGATATTATTCGATTTAAAGAATGTCCAGTCTACAAGGAGATCAGACAAAGAAACAGCACAGACCTTCACAATATGCTCACAAATAGTCAATTCAGTAAATTATTTAATGAGGATTACATTTTTGAGACCAGAAATTTTGTTTATAATCTATTTCGTGAAAGATTTCCTAAAAGTAAGCTATGATTTAGTATCCATATTCCGTGCACACTTTGAAACCATTTATTTATTTATCTACGTTATTATTTTTTTTTTTTGGTTGAATAACTTTCATTTAACTGATGACACATGGGATCTGACACATGATGTAATTTTGTAATGATCTTTCTAATTTCTAATTTTCTAATTTCTAATTTTCTAATTTCTAATTTCTAATTTCGATTTGTTACTCTGCAGCATTTCCACTTTCTTGTCTTCTTGACCTGTTGAACTCTTTCAGTATGTTGCAATGTGATATTTGAACTCTTCCTTGACCCTTAACGTTGTTACTTCTGTTAGAATGTGAAACATGAAGGTGACTTGAAGCTACTAGAGTAGGTGGTTGGCTTGACACAGGACACAGTACTAATAGTACTACTACTACTACTACTACTACTACTGCATGAAGGATATAAAGTGTGTCGTGGTTGGTGACGGAAATGTTGGTATGTTTGTTTGTTTGTGCGGTTATGCGTTAGGTTGTTTGTGCGTTTGATTGTGCGTTTGTTTGTGCGTTTGTTTGGGCGTTGCTCGCCATTTTATTCAGCATGATACCAGCTTTCTCGTTTCTTCGCACCGTAATCTTTCAAAGTTTCAATAACCCATGATAATCACTTGAAATGTGTCAGTGAGCCCCCCTCCTTAATATCAAGACACTTCTTAAGCTCATTGTCACTCTGTTGACTGTATCTCCGCCAGGTAAGACGTGCATGCTAATCTCGTATTGTACGGACGCGTTTCCGGGGGAGTACAGACCCACTATATTTGATCACTACTCTACTAATGTACTGGTGTGCGGGCAGGCTGTTAGTCTCAACCTGTGGGATACTGCAGGTCAGACATACAGGACATTATCTTCATTGTTAACTTTTACCTTATCATTAACCTTACTATTCTCCTGAAGTTGTTTAGTTTTAAACTGCTTCATTTTCCACCTTTTTATAAATCAAAAATTTGTTTGATCTGCCGATAGAACTTTGCTTTTTTATTCCTTCCTTATCTTCTTTATTCGATTATCGCGCTCACTTTCTCGCAAGATGAATATGAAGATGGGTATTTGTTGTTCTTCAGAATTCTCGTTCCATTTTAGTAAATGCTAAATAGATTTGAATAGAGTATTCTGCAGGTCAGGCTGACTATGACAGATTGCGACCACTGAGCTATCCTGAAAGTGATGTTTTTATCATGTGTTTCGCTCTGGATTCTGAAAGCAGTTTGAACAACGTCCGTAACAAATGGAAACCTGAGGTACAAACGTTTTTGTTACTGCTTTTGAATTTATCCTAGGAATATCTCTGTGAACAGTCCCTATCGCCTTTTTATACGAATTTAAAAAATTCAAAGTGATGCCGCGATTTGATTAATAGTTGGTTTCAAAGGAGATGCCGTGTTAGAAAGTTTAAAGTCTGTGTGCCATTTTTTTACGTGATATAATTTGTGTCGAGCCAATCAGAAGTGGTTATAAACACTTTTGATTTGCTCTATAATATATAGAATACTAGAAACCCGCCGCTAGTCGAAAGCTTTGTTCGAGGAAATTTTAAGCATCAGTTATGTTTTAATTTCTCTTCATCATATAGCCCCAAAACGATACTTTTTACCGCATCAAAAAATTTCAATCACAACCAAAGTTATAAATACATATAGGTATATAGCGTCATGAGGGTAAATGTGAGCTAGTTGTGAAATTCTGACGTAGCATACAGCATAACACCGCGCGTTGAAATCCGCTGTAGTCGAAAATTTTATTAAAGGACACTATAAGGGAGCGAATTTATCGTTCGAATTTATCGGTCATCGCTAGTCAATGGTCAAACAATCCAACAAATATGCTTTAGTTCCCGAACCCTGCTTCACTGAAAATATATGAATTACACATTTGAATCATTTCGGTAAATATCAGGTCCCTCATCGTCTCATTTGCATAGGAGATCTGAAAGGCTTGTTCCTCTGTTGATGTTACACATGGAGTCACGGTGAATATTTAACGGGACTTTGAATTGAGAGTGAACTGTGCGTCCATGCGTTAAAAGCAATGACGCATTAGCAGTAGAGGCAGTTGCTAATACTATGTGGCCCTGTGACCGATGATGGGCTATCACTGTATTTAGGAGGAAGCTTTTTCCTGTCCCCGGGCTTGCTCCTAAAAAAAGTGTTGTAGTATGATAATTTCCTGAGCACATACCTTCTATTACATCGAAGGCTCTTCTTTGTTCTTCATTTAACTGAGATATTCTTCGTCCTGAATTTTGTCGCTCTAAGTCAATATCTATGTTATTTAACTCTCTGCTGACAAAGTTACTGCTCTGTTGACGGATTTCATCAGCATTTAATAAAACGATGCCAAACGATGTAAGTGAACGGCCTCCACATGACAAAATATCTGTTTCCAGCAATTGTAGTATATGTTGTCGAATACTGTCAGTGTTTCCTAATGTGAAATTGCCGACTTCTTGCCGCCTTTCCATTATGAAATCCTCGCAGAGATTATCCGCGAATGTTTCCCACAGAGATAGGGGGTCAGACGGTTCGCATGCGCAGATGACCGTAACAAAAAATTGTCTAAGTTTTAGAGCAGACAATGTAGCACTAATCTCGTTCATCGCATCAAAAATGTGGTCATCGTTGTCCAATAAGCCGTGTCTTCTGCAAGCCTCTTTGAAGGTTGACAGTAGCTCACCGTCAACTGTCTTGAGGTGAGCGAATGACGTTGGGCCTGGCTGATGAACCAACAACAGTCTGAGGTAGTAAAGATCACCAATTTTTGGTGACATCGAGTAGAGTCTACCAATAGTATTTGAGTGGACTACTACAGAATCGTCGGTCTGATACATCTTCCTTCCACCAATACATCTTCCTTCCACCAAAGTTGAGTGAGATTCAGGGAATCTTGATCTGTAAGGATCGAGTCATCGGTACTGAAAGTGAAATTAAATGTTAATGTTAAAGTGGATAGATACAGATACAACAAATTTTAGATGATATTTATAAAGCAAGAATGGTAATGTAACGACGTTTAAAGTTAAATATATGTAGGTTCTTACGATGAGTCACGGTGTCTGAACTTTTTCATATCTTTAACTCTCACAGCAAATCGATTGTGCAGAGATCTCCGTTTAGCAGGTCTAGATCCAAGAAAGGGCATTGAAAAACAACAACAGATGAGTAAAATATGTTAATCGTTGGAAGATATTTCAATCGAGAATGACAGTCAATTGAATTATTGCCAGGCAATTAAAATGGCACGTGATGTTTAACTGCGCAAAGTTATTTGCGTAATTAGAAAACAACAATATTTTTGTTGATTGTGTGTGCGCGGCGTAATGTCAGCATTGTGTGTAGCTATAGCGAAGAAACCCGCTAGTCGAAAGCTTTGTTCGAGGAAATTTTAAAAATCAGTTATGTTTTAATTTCTCTTCATCATATAGCTCTGTTATACTGTAGACATAATGGAATTTATCTAACAATGGCGACAGCGTTGTTAGTATTCGGATTCCCAAAACGATACTTTTTACCGCATCAAAAAATACCAATCACAACCAAAGTTATGAATATAAGTCATAGCGTGAGCGTAAATGTGAGCTAGTTTTGAAATTATGATGTAGCATACAGCATAACAACGCGCGTAGTTAAAATGTTCTTGCTCGCGCACGTGCATTTTAACGTTGCTACGCAACAGCGCAGTAAACCTTTGCTAAAATAACGACATTATTCTAACGGTTATTTTACCTCACTTCCGACGTTAATTATAAAAAATCTAAAGACTAAATCAAAATTCTAAGAATGCTATAGCCTATTCCTATCCTTTTTCTACAACCCTGCTAAAAATGGCGAGGTTTCAACTCCATTTGCGAGCTGGGTTTGGCATCACCAGAGGATCATTTTGAGGTCGATTTTCGGTGTTTTTTCTTCTATGTCCCCGTTGCCGGGGAAATTTCGTCAAGTTTAAAATATAGTATAGATAGACGTATAATTACAGGTCGCCCATCACTGTCCAACAGCCCCTATATACTTAGTTGGAACTAAGTTAGATTTGAGGACAAGTTCTGAGAAACTTATCACACCCCACCAGGGACAATGTCTCGCAAAAGAGGTTAATTTGGAATAATGAAAATTAATTCGTCTCATTTGTTTCTATCATAAGCTCAGTAGCACTGCTGCTGATTTACTATAGTGATATCAGTATACATTTCAATTATTTTGATAACCAGTCAATTAACATTGATTGTACACAGATAGGCGCTGAAGTATACAGAGAATGTTCGGCTCTCACTCAGGACGGTTGAAAGGAAATGTTCGACGAAGTTATGAGGGGAGTCCTGTTTCCTAGGAAACGGCAACAGAACAACAGAATTAAATGTACTGTTTTGTAATGTTTTAAGATTTAATTATTCAGACTATTTGTAAATTTTCAGAGCATTTATGTGCATACCTTAGTTTCTAGCCATGGACAATCACGAACTGTACATTGGGACTGCATACCTTGGAAATACCTCGCTTTAAGTGAGAGCTTTCACCATGTCAGTATGTTATTAGGATGACTTAATACTGTAATGGCTCAGAGATATGCACGTCGTGTGATGATCTAATACCGTTCACAAATTGTAAATACAAACTTGTAGATTTCCTTTTTATTTGTCTTTAATGACGATTTGTTTATTTCAAATTTAGAGTGGCTGCTACTGATTTTGACTGATTGTTGTTTATTCAGGTAATTTACATACTGCTGAAAAATGACCTGCGTGTATGATAACACTGTAATATCCGTGCCAAAAATCTAAATATTATGTCGAAGACGTAAGGCGCCCTGCTAAAATATTGAATTATGCTCAAGAAGGCATGGTTGCGCGCGCGTTTACGCGCGTATTTTGACAAATCTTCAGAGACTTTGTATTTGACTGTCATATGCAGGATAAATTACGATCCTCTAACAAATATTATAAATATTCTTAAGGTCGCATCAATTCTATTATAAACTTACAACGTTTCTCCTTATGTTGCTCTTTACGGCTAGTCATGGTTGCACCTGTCCTAAGCTGAAATACCCTAGACAAGACTAACCAAGTACTCAAATTGCATATTAACTGTACATCCTTGTTAGCATGGGTATAACATTCTAACTTTGTTTGTCAATACATTGGAATTTGTGGCAATAAGGATAAGTTACTGTAATGTGCGACCTATTAAAGGTATTCTAGTGCTAGGAGCCCGGTTTTGGTCGAATGTTGGGAATTTGAGCTCGTCATCTCCCGCGTGCCTGAATGCCTTATTTTATATTAGGTTAGAAGGTATTGGCGGAGGTATAAGCTATGATTTTGATACTGTATGTTTTTAGTTGATTTGTGTACTGAACACCTCGATAATGTTTGTATCAGAAATGTAATAGATTATTCAATTTTCGATGCTTTTATACAGTGAAATTGTAGTTTAATTGGTTGTTGTTCAAATAAATGGTTTAATTACGATAATATTACGGTAATGTTTTGGCTAAAAGCATGGTAACTTCAACGTCATTAAAGCTCTAACTATATTTTCACAATGCTTTTCCAACAACCCTAAGATAGAGTAGTCAGAAGTAGAGTAAATATTCATTTTCGACCACACCCACATAGCATTCTGACCACAACTAAACATGTGCTCCTTCATAAATATTAACATTCTGACCACAACTTTCGAGCCACTCACTTTTATGTGGGATATTCATTTTACTCCTCTACTTTCACCTTTTTTATCAATCAAACCTTCCTCTGATTTGTAACGTATGTTTAATTTTGTAAGTACATACTTGCATACTTATTCAAGTTGAACAAACAATTTAATTTTAGACGCATATTTGTAGCAGTATATTTAAATATTCTCACCAAATACCATTCAAGGGGATGGAAGCGAGTAAAACACGGATGGAATACGTGGTTCCCAAACAGCCGAGAAGAAAGGAGAGGTGGTCGGTGAAACAAACCAACAAGCAACCGGCCGAACAGTAAGTAAAGTTCAGAGTTCCGCAGCTAGTGGAGCTAATGTTCAGGTTACTGACAAAGCTCCACTACCTGGGTGTGTTGCTCCTAGGTGTAAAATCTTACAGGACACCGTTTTAAATTTTAAACGCCGTGCAACTTCAAAGCTGAGAGGTCGGGATTTACCTAAATTCTCAAGAAATGTCCTTGAATAACTGCCCGGATCTGCGTTTGACTCGCAACTGCTGTATTTTTGTTAGAATTTTACACCTTGCCACATGTGCTTGACGACACTACTTGTCCAACGTTCTAAATCATTAAAATACTTGCTATAAGTGATTTTAAGTCAGTGTCACATGTCAATTACATCGCAATTAACCCCGGGTGGCAATCCTAATTTGTACATGAAACCTCATGTAGCGAATAGTAGCGTCAATCTCTTACTTTGCTCCAATAGGAGCGATATGATTGTGTCACGGGACTAGATCACGTGCATTTCACGTGCGGGAGAGAGTTTTGTTTAATTGCAAAGTTGGGGAAGAGTGGTAAAACATTTGCTGGTTTTCATAGAGCACGTGGGGCGCAAGTGTGGGGGAAGGGAAATTTAAGTTGCAACAAGTAAATTAGCTTTGTCAAGGGAGCAGTGTGTTTGTTGCATTTCTCAAATTCCTGACGTGATTTAATACTTATCAAAAATATGAAGTACTGCAAATAAAAACGGCCTTCCGGGCTCTGTTGTTCACAGAATTATTTGAAACATGCATAGACTCAAATCGAGGTTATCACGCACATATTTAACTCCGAAACTTTGTGATAAAATATATTAATATAATTGGAGGTCTGTAGTGAAACTCCGTACTATTTTTTCATCCTGGCTCAGAAATGGATACAATAGCGGAAAAAGATATTGTCTATATTAGTCCGTTTTTCATCTTAATCTTATTATTTTTTCGAAAATGATCTGGCTATGCTTTCTGGATAATAAGGGTTCAATGAATTTTGGAGACGGAAAATAAAACGGAACTATTTCCTTGAAATTCAAATTGCATGCGGTATTTTACAGAAGTTGTGACATAATAATATGTACTTACACCACATCACAGCTCGAAGTGGTTAATTCCAGGGATGCCTGAGCTATGACACAATGGTTTGAAGTTAACTTCAAACCAACGGCCAATGATGTGGTTTGTATGAATTTAATTTCTTTTGCAAGCTTCCAGATTTGGGTTATCAAATCCAATTCCTTGATTAATTCGCTATTGATTTCATTGATTGCCGTCTGGGATAGTCAAATGAGCGTAAATGGTAAACTTTTAGTGCTAAAACTGCAAGATTAAGAAATTCTATTGTCATAAAACTGGAAATAGTTTAAAACTGAAACTCTTGCTTTGGTAAGAGTGCTGATCTATAAGGTTCATTCACCTTACTATATATATAGTAGCAATATATAGTAGCACTCTGCATTTTACTGTTAACTAAATATAAATCAAAATATCTGACTAGAAATGATTATCATGAATGAATATTCATGATAATCGTGATCATATAATATCTCAAAAGTTTTACCGGTTATTGAACTCCATCAATGGTCAAATGGTCCAGTTTTATCATATTTTCCGGCCTTAATTGCTAAAAAGGGGAAACAAAGTACCTTTGTGTTAATTAACTACACAGAATCTTTCATCTTTTTGTGTTTTACAAGTTGCCGACTCCTCAAGCAAATAGTATTCAATTTCAAGCTTATTTGATCTTCTTTTCGATACATCTCCAAGTAAAACTAAAATTCGATCAACTAGTTTCTCAAAGGCTTTTATGATTTCAGGCCCGCTAGCACAGTGTTTTACAAGTCACAGAATTTGAAGAGTGGTATTTGCAAGTGAAGAAGTGACAATGGTCCCTTCCCTCCCTGCTATTGATCACTAATTACCACTAATCACCAACACAAGGTGCCTCTTTGAGAGTGATTGTTGACTCAGAACACGCTGCCCCGCTAATTGACTCGTGCCGTGGCCCACCAATCACGAGCCACATTCCCCAGCGCTCGACCAATCAGGGAGCTGGCGAGGGGTCACGTGATAGCCACATGCCAGCCTTTACAAGCAGTATGAAACATCAAAAAACTTGGCCGCTGCTGCGCACTTTTATATGACCGGCTCCGAATCTGAGTTGTTTAGTTCCGTAGTTTAGGTTATGGAGTTGTTGTTGTTGTGAGTGGTGATGCTGACGGTCGCTGCCAGTCGATCTTGTGAGCTTTGTTGATATTTTGATAAGTTTTGGTTCCGTTATTACGGCAAAGACATTACATAGTGGGGAGTCGGGTTAACATTCCTAAATTGTTTAATCTAGCCTGATCTTTTTGTATTTGTAATAGTAATTCCTGTCGCAATCATTCAGTTGCGTAACCACGGCGGGGTCATCGCAGAATGATGGAGTCGGGTTCCTCTTCCATTCAGTATAATCTAGCCTAATCGTTTATGACATTAATTCTTTTTTCAATTATTCATCACTCTGTTCATAACGTTGAATTTCCTACTATAGAGAGTAATAAATGAATAGAGTTATATATAATAGAGTGTTTGAAGAAAAATGAAGAATCCACTTCGACGCGCCTACCTAATTTGACATTGTCTTTTTATTTCAGCCTGATTCTGCGACAACCTGAATAAACTTGACGAGTTTGAAAAATTTAGTCGCCCATTTCCAGCACGGACAATGACTATCCGTTATACATTTCCATCAATTGGAGGGGTCTGGTGACACTAACAAGATTATAAGTTATCCCAGACGACCAAATTTTACAAGGTTTTACAAGATTTCAGTACCTATTGTTGCCACGAGCAGTTATCAAATTTACTAAGGACCATGGGATCACCGTGTTTGAGGGAGAGCCCCAGCATTTCCTTCTTTCCCGACACCCTCTCCATCCTGACCACAGTTCGTAATTATGGTTACTTGGTGTCCAAAGGGGACCGTATTTTTAAAAAATCTGCAAAATCTATATTATAGTTGCAAGTTTACAGTTTATCTTAGTTTTAAAAGTACAACAAGAATTCCTCACTGATTACAGTAACAGTTATTATGGCGACTTACAATCGCCCCATCTGACCGATTTCGCGATTAAGATCACAAACAACGCAAATTTTGTCACTTGAATTAGATTAGATATTGTTTCATTACAAGCGGTCACCTCAACCTGTATATATTATATCAGTCAGCTATTATTTTTAAAACTCACAACGGCACGGCACTAGCATTGTATTTCGTTTTACAGTAGTTAAACCCCGTTGTAATTCCCTCTTTTCAATTATATCGCATGGCTGTCGGGAGAAGCTACCACGTTTTCGGATTCGGTGAAAAGGCATTTATAATAAAATTAACTGCTTTAATTCATTGATTATTGGTCAGCTAGACAAATAGCCCTTAAAGTTTGTTCTTCACCGACCGGCGTGGCTCCGTTAGACCTAATTGAGCAACTTTAAGAGTCTTGCTCTATTTTCGACGTTATTTTCCTCTTAATATGGAGAATCTTATTTTTGTCGTTTTGGGATATTAGTGATCATGATTTGTTCACTGTTCTGCTTGAATTAAATTCGATTTGGGTGGATGAAATTCGACGTACTCAAATCTGCATATTATTTGTTTTGAAAAATAATCTTATTTTCGGTAAGGCATTCAGATATATCGACTTAGTGAACCAAGACGTAAAATGGTAACCTTGTAATCTATGGCGACCGGATATGAGCCACTAATTTTTATTCGGTAACACGATTATTAATCTCTGTGAAAATTCTATAAATCAGGGCTGGAACGATATTACATTCCCCCGTCTCTATTCGTTTCACGTGGCCATTTGAGATTCGTTTTTACATCAAATTATTGACAAAAACTTTCGCTGTCCGTAATCAGTGTCATTCGGTACATTTTAGCATTTGTATGAATGTTGTAGTAAAACACGATACTTTCGTATTATTATCGCTGTGTACTCACATGGTTCCAATCAATAGTGCCACAAATGGTCCTTAAAATACGTAACCATTGATAATTGATAAACATCAATTTTTTAAATTAAAATAGAGCCTCCGTTGAACTTCCAAATTTACAAGTTAACAACCCAACTTCCTGCCTTAGACTAGATTTATACCAAGAGTGGAGGTTTCCCTTTTCATTTAAGCTCTTTAGTCAAAGTTAAAGTTGAATATGAAATGTTAACCACACTCTACCCTCAGTTATCATGAAGATATCACGAGATCTCCTAATGTATTTCCTGTACGGGCGGGATGAGGCAGATGCAATTAAAGGTAGGTTCTTAAAACTTTACTTTCCAATTTATATTTTTTATTTTTGTCTCTTTTAAATCTCAGCCTATATTCTTATTTTAATTTGTTTCAATATAATATAGATTATTGATTCTTTAGAGTAGATTAATTTTGGTTTTATATTTAGTGTGAACGATGAATCATAATATTTATTGATATTGTTTGAATATATGATCATCATAATATAAATTAATGTATCGCGGTTTTACCACTTACTACTACTAAACCTCACAAAATGTAATCTTGGTTGTCCTACAACGCTGTGGTGACTTTGTAACACCGGACAGTAGTACTATACAGTACTATACAGTAGTATACAGTACTATACAGTAGTATTACTACTGTACAGCTCCAAGTTAACTGTTAATATCACCACCCCTTGGCCTAGCTGCACAGATATTTCAGTCGCTATTTCTAGCGACTTTCTGTCACGGTGTTAGGCCAGATAGACCTTAGTTAACGGCTAATTTCACTTGAGCCACCAGCAGTGGTGACACAAGCCCCGCTGACACCGCTGTGCAAGAGTTGCCATCAGAGGAGGCACCTTTGTCCTGAATTTTAGGCATTTAGTTCAAAACGATGCACATATTCGTCGGGAATCGGGTAGAAGGGTATTATCATCTGTGGGGCAAACTTCCGGCAAATTAGCACAGTTTAAGTTGTTTACATAATAAACCTCACTTCTAGATGGTAATATAATAATCCGCGTGATCACCTCCTTTCTCTCTTGATTGGGTGAGAGGGAGAGAGGGTAATGGGTATCTAGGTGGAGCCGTGATACAATGAGACCCCATCAGAACATGTTTTGACAGTGGTTTACTACCTCTTTAGTGTCATTTCCAGGTTTACAATTTCCAGGTTTATAATTTCCAGGTTTATAATTTCCAGGTTTATAATTTCCAGGTTTATAATTTCCAGGTCTTTAATTTCCAGGACTATAATTTTCGGATCACATATTAGTCACTCCAATCCCGGTTCTAATCAATATGACTTATGATATCGGTCTAGCAGATCTGTTCAAATAAACATTTCAATGCGTAGATTAATCCAGATATTGACCATGGAATTCTACTGTTTTTCTCATTTCCTTGGTAAAGTCTTTCACGACCTCAAACTACCTATCACTAGTTTCTACCTGGCAAGTATATGAAAGTCGTCCACTCCCGCTAAAAATAGTGGCTAATCTTGTCTCGGGAACAGGTGCCTCAATAGCTCCTGTCAATCTCTATTAGGGTACAGATTCAAGCATACAGCTCTCCTCTATCAATCTCTATTAGGGTTCAGATTCAAGCATACAGCTCTCCTCTATCAATCTCTATTAGGGTTCAGATTCAAGCATACAGCTCTCCTCTATCAATCTCTATTAGGGTACAGATTCAAGCATACAGCTCTCCTCTATCTATCTCTATAAGGGTACAGATTCAAGCATACAGCTCTCCTCTATCAATCTCTATTAGGGTTCAGATTCAAGCATACAGCTCTCCTCTATCTATCTCTATTAGGGTACAGATTCAAGCATACAGCTCTCCTCTATCAATCTCTATTAGGGTACAGATTCAAGCACACAGCTCTCCTCTATCAATCTCTATTAGGGTACAGATTCAAGCATACAGCTCTCCTCTATCAATCTCTATTAGGGTACAGATTCAAGCATACAGCTCTCCTCTATCAATCTGGTCTTAAGTTTACCTGGTGTTCAGTAGTAGTAGTAGTAGTAGTAGTGGTGTTCAGGCACGTAGCCAGGGGGGGGGCCTGCTGGTGTTCAGGCACGTAGCCAGGGGGGGGGGGGGGCTGCTGGTGTTCAGGCACGTAGCCAGGGGGGGGGGCTGCTGGTGTTCAGGCACGTAGCCAGGGGGGGGCCTGCTGGTGTTCAGGCACGTAGCCAGGGGGGGGGGGGGGCCTGCTGGTGTTCAGGCACGTAGCCAGGGGGGGGGGCCTGCTGGTGTTCAGGCACGTAGCCAGGGGGGGGGCCTGCTGGTGTTCAGGCACGTAGCCAGGGGGGGGGGGGCCTGCTGGTGTTCAGGCACGTAGCCAGGGGGGGGGGCCTGCTGGTGTTCAGGCACGTAGCCAGGGGGGGGGGCCTGCTGAGTGCTGGTGTTCAGGCACGTAGCCAGGGGGGGGCCTGCTGGTGTTCAGGCACGTAGCCAGGGGGGGGGGGCCTGCTGGTGTTCAGGCACGTAGCCAGGGGGGGGGGGGCCTGCTGGTGTTCAGGCACGTAGCCAGGGGGGGGGGGCCTGCTGGTGTTCACCTACTTTCTCAACACATAACTACTTTATACCACAATCATATTTCAATAGGTTATTCATGATTATCCACGACAACACTAGAAACACTCAAACAGCATAACCACGGAAAGTGTTTCTCCTTGACATTTCTCTACCAGCCCCTCTTTCCATACTCTTCCGGTTCGCTCTAGGATGAACTGCTAGGGTTACCGTTACGCCACACCTCCGTAATTCCAGAGACTTGCTGTCGACAGAAAGTCACACTCCAACCCCTAATCACCTACTGTAATTACTCTAATTACTGTAATTACTAGGCACCTCAGTAGGAACCTGGAAATAAGTTCGTTTGTTTAGGGCAATTTCACTTGCCTGGAATTTAGGGCGTGAAGGATGCCTGTGCTCCAGACACTCTAACAGACATAAGCATGCTGGCTCGATTGGAGGTATCATTGGCGGTCATTACAGGCCTAATTTTAGACTGATTCAAGGACTCAGTCAAGCTCTCGTAAAGCCAATTTACGGACGTTTTGGTTGCCCAATCACGCAATCCGCCTGCAATTACTTTATTTCTTTCAAAGAAGGCACACATTATACAAATTGTTTATCGTTCAGGTGCTAAATTTGGCTGCCTCGGTTGAGTTGGGCGGGGGCCTTTACCCCGGGACTTAGCTTTGAACTGTGCTCCGGACAATATGTAAATCATGTAAAGGAATTCCTCGTCATTGCCGGAAGAGTGGTACTTTAGATCTAGACGAAATCTCCCTCCCTTTTGACTAATTATAACCCTTTTGACCACCAAAAATAATTCGTTTCATCACGGACCATTGCGGAATCTGCAAGACAGCAAAGTGGCGAGTGGGTCCTGCAAGCAGGGCTCCGCCAGAGGACGTCTGTTCAGATGCCGTGGTTTTTAACACCCTGTCTGTTTCCCTCCTAAATACCTCCCAAATACCTGGGTGCCGGCCGAATTGCTGGGAATTATCAGGACTTCCTCGAAGAGTTGGGAGTCAGACCCATACTTATACTGTGGGAAGAACAATAGACGGTTGTAACACCATCCAGCCGCTCCTACAAATCTAAAATAAAAACACCACTATTCACTACCAGGACGTTTCATACAAGCTATTAATAACACCACATCTCCCCCAGATCCGTTACCAATACTGGACACTCTTCCCAGCGACATCACCATCGGACACAGCATGATCCCCGGAGCGAAGTACGGGGTGTTCGCCAGACAGCACATCCTGAGGGGACTCGTTGTGGGACCTCTCAATCTACCTCTGGTGAGTTAGTGAGGCAGTTGCCGGGGTGACGGGCCGACAAATCACGTGACTCAACACGACGCGACCACAACTTTATTTTACCTTTTCGGATAGATAGTATGACCATTAAACATAAATTTACGCCAAAGAGTAAGCTAGAATGATTCCTGGTTAGGTTCTACAACTTTATTTTACCTTTTCGGATAGATAGTATGACCATTAAACATAAATTTACGCCAAAGAGTAAGCTAGAATGATTCCTGGTTAGGTTCTACGTCCTGTAAATTAGTTAGTACAACTAGAAAGGTGTCATAAAGTGGATTAGACAAGTCTAAAAAGATCTTTGTACAGGGTCAAAGTAAAGAGGAATCAGGTGACGCAGCCGTTAAGGACGAGCTCGCGATACACAAATCGTGGTCCTGGTTGAAATATATCCAGGTAACCCCTTCGTACTTACTACTTGCCTCTCAATTTAAGTCTGAGATTGATAAATTCCATTATTATTTTTCAATTATCATTATTCATTGCCCTACTTTAAGCCAAAATATTCCCATTTATCTAATATCTTACCAACCGTTCCCTTACCAACCGTTCCCTTACCAGTTACCAACCGTTCCCTTACCAACCGTTTCCTTAGCCCGCACGTCACCCATACGAAGAGAACGCTAGGATAGACCAGACAACAGAGGGGATATTCCTGCGAATAACACACGATATAAGTCCCGGGTGTGAGATACTAGCCTGGTACGCTGACTCCAGTCTCTCTACATTCGGCATGGATATCTCCTACTCCTCAGTCTCCTCTACTACCCTCGCTAACGGGACAGTTTCACCTGGTTAGTTGATGGTTTGTGTTGCAGTTAAATCTAGGTCACATACTGATCTTGCTTAGGAAAGATAGTTGAAAGAAATTATCAAAAATGCACGATAAGATGCTCCCAAACTGACTGTTGCCCCTAGTGCCTACTGCCTAGTCTCCAGGGCAGACCACAGCGCGAGCATCATGCTGTACCTGTCCTGTAGTTACCTGTAATTAAACTAAGGTTACGAAATGATTGCATTCCGCTAAATGTCACAAAGTATCATATTATCCGTTGATAATTGTACCCGTCTTACCGGATTGTCATTTGAATTTGTCGTCGCATAGTATGCGCATAGTATGCGACCTCTTCTGTCTCTCAGTGCAGTTGTAACAATCCTAGTAAATATCATTTCCACTAATTACCTTCTACCGAATAGTACTCCCACAAGATTTAACTTTGAGTTGTTTCTGTCTGATAGTGTTGTAGCATCTAGACAGTTCGTAAGTGTTCTGACTACATCCCGCCTCTTTGTCAGAATTAATTTAATATTTTTTCTCTTTGAAACCGGAACTGAGAGCTCACGCAACTAGCTATAACGTTTGATGCTGATGATTTTAAGATTTTAAGTGTGTGTTCTATCATGATCTGGTTTTACAAAACAGCTGCCGATACAGTAGCTCAACTGCGGCTCCTCCCGTTTAATTGATGGTGAGATGGAGTGTGTCAAGCAGATAGAGTTAGAGATGAGAGTAAGAGCTCCAATAGCCCGCCGACTGTGCCTCCCGCCTTCTTTGATACGCTCCGCAGTACTTTGTGCCCCCGCCCTCTTGTTTTTACCGCCACTGTTCAGATGCAGAAATACTGGCATTCTCCGGAAAACAAGTTTTACGAATATTTGTTTCACGATCATTCGAGCATAAAGGTGACATGCAGTTTTACAAAATGTGTGTGTCACGATTATTTAAGTCGCGTCGAGACAACTTCTAGATTGTTGACGTGATCATGACGAAGTGATTGAATCCGGTTCTGATCAAGATTAGATCTGATTTTACATGGGCTACTTGCTGAATAATTTCACGGTCATCGATGTATTAGCACCATGATGAGCTGAAACTGTTTAAACTCAGCAAAGACGGTACTAACTATAAAGTGGCTTTGTCTTGGAAATACATTTTAAAAGTGAAACTATCTGCGTGCTTTATGACATCAACCTACTCAACAACTCTTTTTTAAATCTAATGTCGGCATTTTTTACTAGATTCGTTTTCTTTCAGGTAGTTCAACAAGTCCTCTACAGTCAGCTATATTGATGAGTTCTCCTCCAAAAGAGAAGAGCAGCCCGCCTCCCTCTCTCTCCCCTGGATCCCAAACATCTCTTCTCGCCAGCCTATCAGCCCATAAACCCGTCCTATCCCCACCAAACCAGATGCGCACCTCCCCTCTGGTGCCCCACAAACCTATCCTCTCTCCCACGCCTCTTCCCCACAAACCCCTCGTGTCCCCTCAGCCTCTTCCGCACAATCCTCTGATCTCACATCCGCAACTACTCGCCAAAGCAGTGTGTCGACTTTGTGGAGAGCTGTATTCCAGCTACGTGGAGCTGTGGGCTCACGTGACTACTGCTCACGCTTCTAGTTCCCCTCTCTCTAGAGCCACCTCTCAGATACCCGCTACTACTCCTACCACTATCTTATCTAACTCTGCGCTACCTTACCCTCTTCCTATACTTCCACTTAACCTGGGGTTAGTTTATAGTCCTATTATTTTTAACTAGGTAGTTAGCCAGTAGCCACATATTGATTATAAATTATGATATGTACTTGGTTTCTTGGATCAACTTTGAAAACAATCTGATAATTAGCCCGATTGTTATTAATTGTTTACAGCCCTCTGTGCAGGTTGCCAGCTCTAACGAAGCCCTACCCTCTCCTCTCACCCCGTATGACAGAGCTTCTGGAGAAGACATCACCTGACCCGTTCCTACCGGAGGGGGAGCTGCTGGTGCGGGAGTGTAGAGACACTGAGCGACCCTACGAGTGTGGACATTGCGGCAAGAGCTTCTCCCTCCCTAGCTCGCTGAGGTGAGTTGCACATGACGTCACATATTGTACCACGTGATATGACGTCACATATTGTACCACTTGATATGACGTCACATATTGTACCACATGATATGACGCCACATATTGTACCACGTGACATGACGTCACATATTGGGCTGTAGGACTATTGAGCGGAGGACTGTTGAGCGTAGGACTGTAGGTCGGTGAAGGTCGGCAGTAGGACTGTAGAGCGGTGTCAAATCGCCAGGGTAGGACTCTAGAGCGGCCGCCCTTATAGATCTCACAGCATGAGGACTTTAGAGCGGTACGATCCTAAAATGAGGACTGTAGAGCGGTGGACTGTTGAGCGGTGGACTGTAGGCCGATGAAGGTCGGAAGTAGGACTGTAGAGCGGCCCTCCCTTATAGATCCCATAACATGAGGACTCTAGAGCGGTGGTGGACGGTTGCTACTTCCACTTCTGCCAGGCAGTCCTGAGATGGGTGCGGGAGAACGGACCCAAGAAGTCCTACGACGATGGTATCAACAACCCCCTTACCAATTCCTGGACTCCTGGTCCTGTTCGTGTGTGGATACGGAGACTCACATGCAGCTTGCTTTCGTCCCAGTCGACGATGTTGTCTCATCATTCATCGAGCTCCTAATCGAATTTGATATACGAAAACTGGATACTCCGTGATATTTATACCATACCTTCGAAATCCTAACAAGATATCGAACTGCGATGGGATCTGATCTGAATCAGTCCCGTCACCAGATTGATGAACATGAGATATCCTTAGTAGGCGCTAAAGCGACACGCGATGCGATCCTCATTCCTAAATGATCTGCACGAACTTGATCGGTACTCTGCTTAGCGAAATCACATTGATACGAACAGTTCACTAAAATACCGAAGACACGTTTTACATTTTTGAGTAGCAGTGGAATATTTCAATCATTTGGAAGACGTTGAGACCGACCAATAATCTTAAATTAAGTTACACTATAATATTAGTAATGAAATATTTATAATAAGTAAATGAAAATGTTCATTAACTACATGACTCTTTAATAAAGTTATCATCCTAGAATGTCATGACCATAATCAATCACGAGTTACAATGTATAACTTAGCTTCGTTGAGTGTTCAATCTTCAAATTTTCAACCGCTTTAGAGTCCTCATGTTATAGGAGGCTACCGCTCTAGAGTCCTCATGTTATGGGATCTATAAGGGAGGGCCGCTCTACAGTCCTACTTCCGACCTTCACCGGCCTACAGTCCACCGCTCAACAGTCCACCGCTCTACAGTCCTCATTTTAGGATCGTACCGCTCTAAAGTCCTCATGTTGTGATATCTATAAGGTCGGCCGCTCTAGAGTCCTACCCTGGCGATTTGACACCGCTCTACAGTCCTACTTCCGACCTTCACCGACCTACAGTCCTACGCTCAACAGTCCACCGCTTAATAGTCCTGCTCCCCACATATTGTACCACGTGACATGACGTCACACATTGTAACACGTGACATGACGTCACACATGTTGGAGATATTCCTGGCTCAAAAATCGTTTACCAATTGATGATGGATTAGCACGATATATGCTGATTTGCACCTTATGAGAAATTAAAAATAGCCCCACTGTTATACTAAGGCACTGTATCGTTGTTTCTAAAGTCTCCCTTTTCAGACGACACATTATTACACACACCGGAGAAAGACCCTACAAATGTGGTTACTGTGGACGAGCGTTTGCAGGTGAGAAACAGGGTTATATCTACTTTGTTAGTTGTAGCACATTCTGGTAGAATTGCTGTGTTTGAGAGAGAAATGAAGTACGCAGTTCAACAAATACGAGAAACTGTATTTCATCTTTATCTCAGCTCTGTATGGTGTGGCAGTTATGATTATGAGCAGCTGTAACTTTTTGGATCTAATCTCTCGAAACCCCCACATTATAAAAAACCTTACTTTTCAGGTGCCACAACTCTGAATAACCACATCCGAATCCACACGGGAGAAAAGCCTCATGTTTGTCACGATTGTGGTGCTGGCTTTACTCAGGTACGATTTCAAATATTTTTCCTCTGGGAACAGGGTACGTGGGAGGAGGGAGCAAGGACACACAAACCAACCATTTATTGCCTGTTTGGAGATTTTAGCCAAATTTGATCAAAAAAGGAAGCAATAAATTTGGTAAATTGTCACAGAACTCCAACGATCTGATTTTCAGATCATTTTGTTTTAAAATAGCCGAGATGTTTGTAATTGAATCGGAAATATTTGCGATTGATGTTGGTCAGCTCCGCACGTCCATTGGTTCAGTGTTCTACACCCAGTACGACCTCCCTCGCGGTGCTTCAAACAGCAGGACTCCTTACGAGAATTGCCAGTTTGAAAGCACGTCCATCATCAAAATCAATTAAACCGAGCTTTACTTTACACTGTTTCGTACCTCTGAATATTTAAAACCTATTTACCAAATTGTTCGTCGAGTAGGTAATTATTGAAAAATGTTAAGTAAACAACATTTCGATTATACTGCCAACTCTAGATTTAATATGATTTCAAGTTCGCGCCCTGTCCACATATTACGTAATGATGCCTTTTCTGCTATTTTTAGACCTCCCTCCCCTCTGTTATCACTTTTACTTATAACTTTGGTTTGGACATTTTTTATTTTATTCACCCTACATCTTCAATATTTGTTTTTCAGGCGACCCAACTGAACCGACATATCCGGTGCTGCCCAAACTCTAAAAACTCCTCCGCAAGCAACACGATGCAGCATCCCACTGAGATTTACGTCAGCTGAAAGGCTAACACGTGATCAGGTCACGTGGTGTTGATGACGTCACACCACGTGGCATTGAGAGCACCTGACCGAAGACAGAACTAAAACGGAAGCTAACTGAATCAGAATATAAACGACGATTGAGTTTATCAGAATATTGAGATTTTGAGATAACAGATAAACTGATTTGAAATAACCGATGATATGATTTTTGATGACATGATAGAACTGAGGTATGAAACTGAAGTACAAACTGGAAAATCATTTATATAATTTTCCATTTTGTTATAACACATTTCTTACGTTATAAAGTTATAAGGTACAGTATAATTCATCAGTTCATTACAAATACAATGGGAGGCATATTGATAAAACAGTACGCAATAACAATGTCAATGAAGAACACTAAAATCCAGATTCAGTGTTGTATTTGTGAAAACTAGAAAGCTGAAAATGACATTCATCCTCCCTAGTATCTTGGTTTGATATCTGTTGATGAGAAGTTTATGATTACAGTTAATTTTTGAATTATTTCTTTATGCTTATTGTTAAATTCGCATTACATGATCTAAGGGTTTATTTTATCGCAGTAATTAGCTGTAGTTATGAACTATTGCATAATGGAAGAGTGTAGGATAGGGTTTGCCTCATAATTACTCTCCAATTTATGTACAATTTCAGAAATGGGTCCAATCAAATGATCGTCATCCATTGCCCAATTGGCAAATCAGAATATTTAATTTTGCTAACATACTGCCTTACATCCCTAACATTTACTTGTTAACGACCCCGTTACAGAAATTAGTTTCCTGAACAACTGATTGATTAGGTGATACTATTATATTATGGAGTAATACGCAAATGCAGTTGATCCGCCGAGAAAACTACTGCCAGCCGATTCCCCAGTATTACTTGTTGGTTTATAAGTTTAAGTGGTGGCTAAGCCTCAAGTAAAATACAATGTCGGGTCCCAATGTGCAGCTTAGTAGAACCAAGAATAGACAGTTCTGGAAGAACACTCGATGAATTAAATAACCAGTATATTAAGAAAAAGTCAAAGGTTTTGTTGATAATTACCTTTTGCCGATCGTTTTATGTTGGCCGAAATCCATTTTCCAAAAGAATATTGGTCATTACATCAAACATTCAAAGTATGTATTCTAATTCACAATTTGAGTACAAAAGTAGATTTTTTTTGCCTCTGAGTTTGATCTGACTTCACTGAAAGCTCACGAAAAACTAAGAATAAAAACAATTTGAGTTCCAATAATATACCGAATACCTATTCACATATTGAACAACATTTGAATAAATTTTAAAAGTAGGTCGTAGTATCATCAATCACCTTTGTTCACACATTACTAATAAGTATAAATATAATATTTATCACATCTCTTTGGTAAGAGTAAGAGTCTATTATAATCACCTAAAGGCTAAATAATATATAAAGAGTGCCTTCACCTTCACATATTGACAATATCCAGAAAAGTAGTTCAATCTTTGTCAAAGCACTCTGCTTATTTATTGTCCATGTTGTTGAGACATCTCAGTCCAAAGCAGCTGGTGATCCTTCTCCAGTACCCTCAGTGTTACTGTTGTTGAGACATCTCAGTCCACAGCAGCTGGTGATCCTTCTCCAGTACCCTCAGTGTTACTGTTGTTGAGACATCTCAGTCCACAGCAGCTGGTGATCCTTCTCCAGTACCCTCAGTGTTACTGTTGTTGAGACATCTCAGTCCACAGCAGCTGGTGATCCTTCTCCAGTACCCTCAGTGTTACTGTTGTTGAGACATCTCAGTCCAAAGCAGCTGGTGATCCTTCTCCAGTACCCTCAGTGTTACTGTTGTTGAGACATCTCAGTCCACAGCAGCTGGTGATCCTTCTCCAGTACCCTCAGTGTCACTGTTGTGGAGACATCTCAGTCTACAGCAGCTGGTGATCCTTCTCCAGTACCCTCAATGTTACTGTTGTTGAGACATCTCAGTCCACAGCAGCTGGTGATCCTTCTCCAGTACCCTCAGTGTTACTGTTGTTGAGACATCTCAGTCCACAGCAGCTGGTGATCCTTCTCCAGTACCCTACGTATCTTTCTCTCAGCTCCGTTTTTCTACTTATCAGGATGATTGGGTAGATCAATGCATACATGAGGGGGAGTGTGAACTCGGTCAACCCAAACATAATCCCTACATTCACCCAGAACTGCTCATTGTGAACGTAATTATCGTCGTCAAAATGAGAAACCGACACCAGTATGTACCAAACCATCATCATCAGGAAGTAGGCTGCATTGCACAAAAAGAAGAGGACGGAGACCCAAAAGACAGTAACTATGGCATGATTAGCTGTGCTGGACATGGTTGAGGAGGTTGCATTTTGTTGGAGCGTCTCTTTCAAGTATTTTATCTGAATTATCATACAGATAAGTACAGTGAGGGGGATGCAAATGAAGTAAAAAGTAGCATATATGTACAGCAGGCTATTGTACTTACTTTGCAGTTCTATTTTGTTGTTAGATCTAGCACATTTTGATACTCCACTCTGGTCTGGCATGCAAAGTACTGCGACGATGGTGGGCAGTCCCGGAAAGTTGAAACCTTCAATGAGGTAGCGAAACACCTTGGTGATGAAATTAAGAGGAACATTGCTTTCGAAGAACACCAAGATTGCCACCATGTCTGAGATGTGCAGCAAGGCTATAACTGCACAGCAGAGAGCTATAACTAACCTTAGACGTGGAGTGTTAATTCTGTCGAATGGTTGCACGAGTTTGACAGTAAGGGTGATCGTCATGGCTAGATTGAAGAGCTTAGACCAGTTTACTCCCGGTAGAGAAGTGACCATGTAGTAAAGCAAGCTCTTGTACAGAGCTTCTTGTTCGACCAGTCCCACATTTACCAGGATACTCACAACTGAGATTACAATTTCTCCTTGTGCTTTCAGAATGTCCGCCATAGCGATTCCCATGAATAAGCCGGCTACTAATTTGGTTTTGTCCTTGTAGTAGTTTGCAAAGATGATTATGTTATGTACCACCACCACGATACCCAGAGTGATGTTAACCGGGGATAGGCAGAAGAAGACTCCCTTGAAAATGAGCGTGTCCATCCTCATGGTAGCATTGGGGGTGGTAAGGTAATAAAGGTTCATGATTCCTTTTTGTATCTCTGTATCAGTATGGTGAGAACTGATAATCCTATGAATGAGACGAATTGGTTTAGATAGTTCATTAGTTGATATTTATAAATATAAATATTTATTTTATTTGTACGTTTATTATTTGTACGTTTCTGCAGTTTAAGTTATAAAATTGCTGTCCATAGAAAAGGACAGGCAAACTAACTTAATTTTAAATTCGCGGAAAATCGGGGCTAAAAACTCGAAAATCAAACATTCGCGTCGAATTTGCGACAAAAGATAAAATATTTGCAGTTGAATTTGCAGTGCTTAGTTCAAAGTTAAAGGACACATATTCATTGATATAAGAATAACCATCTGGTCGGCCCATATGGTGATGTGACCACGCTTTATTAGTTAATTCATTCGATACGGATGTTACATCACCAATAACCCTGCTTCGAAATGGCAGATCATTTCTTTGCTCAGGTGAAGGGTGAGCTTATATTGGCAGGACTTCTCTAGAAACGTTAACACTCGCGATCCATTTAGTACAAATCAGAATTGAACAAGCGAATTTTATTTGTAAGAAAGGCACTGATGAGTTTTTGTGACGTGATCAAATACTAAATAGTAATACTGACGCAGATTTGATCCTAAAATTAAAGGTAAATCTAAAAAAGTGCATTACATAATAACACAATTGCATTGTAAAAATAAAATCTGGCTATGTTTTGTTGTCACTTTTACTTTTAGTTTTATATCCTTGAAGTTGTACCTGCTTATGACCAGTTATGTCATAAGGTAGCTAGGGAACAGCCAATCGTACAGTTGCCAGCTGATACATGATACCAGGAAATTATTCTGATGGGATCTTTCTTAGGAACTGAGATTCTGAAATTTAGGTCATTCTGTAAATCTAAATCTTTGGTAATTCGGGAAAAAAAACTTCTCAACAGCCACATTTACACGAGTAAGGCATAAAATGCACCATTCACCTATTTACTTTTAGAGATTGTCCATGTCAGATATTAATATATTACGTAACTGTAAGGGGTTGTTCACATATACGTAATCAGCTGAAGGGGGTGGGGGTTTCCGAATGATTACGCTAGTGTAATTTTAACACAATAGCTATGTGTAAAACTGATTACGGAGGGGAGGGGGGGGGGTAAAAATTTTCCAAAAAATGATTACGTAATATGTGAACGACCCCTAAGGTAGAAATGCAGTTGACCGTTTCGGTTTAATTTTTTAATTACACCCTGTAATTGTATTATGCTTCTCGCAACCACTTTAGATCGGCGAGATCAGAGATGCACCACTGGCCGGTCACGCCGAGCTGCGAAGGATTGACATTGTCAATCAAATCACTTTATACTTCAGAAAACCGAATTAAACACTCAGTTCATGTTGACAATGTCCGTAATTATGAAACTGAACTTAAAGACATTAACAAACGACTTTCAGAACATCTCCGCGACATGGCCTCGAAGTGTTTCAAACAAACCAAACCACCCAAAAAATCTCACACCTCAAACAAACCTTGGTTTAACTGGAAAACGAGATTAGGTAAAAGAGAATTTCGTAAAGCTACAGATGCAACCTCAAAATTCCCGTCAAACAACCTTATACGTGAAAACTATTATCTTGTCAAGGGTAGCTATAAGCGTTTGAAGAACTCTGCCAAAAACGAATTCTTCGCACGTATGAATGAGGATATAGAGGGGGGGAAAATTCTCAACTGGCAATCTTTCAAAAAACTAAAAAATCAGAAAAAGGAAACTTTAAATTTTGACAGTCATGATATGAATAGATTCGAGACTTTTTTTGGTAACCTATATTCTGATAACCACAAAACAATAAATGAAGATAAAAAAGTTTCTATGATTGATCAAGCTGACTTGATAAATCAAGGTGCAACTCATCCTGAGTCACTCAACAGCTTAATCACCACAACAGAACTTGACTCCAGTATAAAATCCCTCAAAAATGGTAAAGCTTCCTCACTCGACATGATTAATAACGAAATTATAAAATCTCTGGACACCAATCATAAATTGATTATGTTGAACCTCTTTAACGCCTGCTTCTCACAAGGAATTTATCCCTGGAACGTCAGCATTATATCTCCACTTCATAAAAAGGGAAATAAATCGGATCCTGATAACTACCGTGCAGTTGCTGTCAGCAGTGTCATAGGAAAACTCTTCTCAACTATTCTCTTAGAAAGACTCATTCACTTCCGCTCTGAAAACTGCCCTGATCCACCTAACCAACTAGGCTTCACAAAGAAAGCTCAAACATACGATCATATACTAACCATGAAAACTATAGCATCAAAATATAAACTTTTGGGGAAACCTGTATATGCAGTATTTGTTGATTTTAAAAAAGCATTCGACTCAGTCTGCCGTCAAGCCCTTTTCCTCAAACTCGCAAAAAATGGCATAACTGGAAACTTCTACAATGTCCTCAAAAATATGTACTCAAACTCGTACGCTTACATAAAATTATCTGGTCATCTCAGTAAACGCTTTCAGATACGTAAAGGTACAGAACAAGGTCACCCACTCTCACCTGACCTTTTTAAAGTTTTTCTCAGTGATATGTCCTGCCTCCTAGATTTTCCAAATTGCCCTGTACTTTCAAATATTACTGTTAGCCACCTGCTGTGGGCGGATGACCTTATACTCCTTTCACTCGACCAGGAAACCACCCAAATGCAACTTAATATTCTCGGTAATTTTTGTAAGGAGTGGGGCATTGAAATCAATGAACTCAAAACTCAAGCAGTCATCTTTGGTAAGAAAGCGTTAAAACAGGACGTACAAAACATAAAATTTACACTCAACGGATCTAATCTTGAAATTGTTGACAGTTATTGTTACCTTGGATTTGAACTTCATCAATCGCAGACAACCTTATAACGTAAATGTGGCACTGTGACACTTGTGGCACTATCATGTGGCACTTGTGACACTCACATGTGGCACTTGCGACACTAACATATGTAACATGTGGCACTTGCGACACTCACATGTGGCACTTGCGACACTAACATAT